TGATCAAGAAAGTTTTACAGGGATCAGGGGAAGGTACAAGCGAGTGACAGGGTGAGAAAGAGAGGGAGGAGGGGGGGCACAGAAGGCGCAGCCCCCTGCCCTGTCCTGACAAATGTGTTTTCACGTACCGCTCTCGGTGAGGAAATAGATCAACGTCCATGGGCAAGCTGCACCGTTATCATTTTGATAGTAGAACCCGGGCCTGCCCTGTCCTGCTTCTAATTGGGGGTCGTAGCTAAGGAAAAGATGAGCAAGCTGCACCGCGTAGTGCTACAATTAAACTCACCAACAACTTCCCTCTAGGAAAGGAAAGATGCTAACCGATCGAAGTTTCAACCTTCATGCATGCAGTAACAATGCAATGGAAAGAAGCTAACTTCATTAGTACTTCCTTCGTTCCTAAATATTTGTCTTTCTAGATATTTCAACAAATGACTACATACGGAATAAAATGAGTGAATCTACACTCTAAAATATGTCTATATATACGTATACAGTAGTCCATTTGAAATCTCTAAAAAAACAAATATTTAGAAACGGAGAGAGTATATAGCAAGGAGATAGTGATGCATGCCTCCTCCTGTGCGAGCAGGCGCTAGAAACTCGAACATTTGGTATTTCAAAACTTGAACATTTTTTGATCAATTATTAAATAACGTTGATATTTTGAGAAATGTTCTTTGGTCAAATTTGAAAAAATGTTCAAACATTTTTCAAATTTGTGAACAATTTTTGAAAACAGGGACATTTTCTCTGAATAATTTTAAAATAACCGTCTGAACAATTTTGAAAAACACTAACAAATTTGAAAACACAAACATTTTTTGAAAAATTACAAAACAATTTTTGAAACTCCTGCAAAATTGGAAACATGAACGTTTTTTTGAAAGAAGGAACATTTTTTGAAATTCCAAACAATTTTTCAAAAAGTTGTGAACATTTTTAAGAAAAACATACCAATTTCTTTTGGAAAACGATGATTTTTTAAAAATTGTGAACAATTTTTCAACTTCTGAAAAAATGGTGATTTTGCGGACAATTTTTGGAACACGAATTTCTTTTTAAATTTGTGCACAATTTTTTATAATGGGAACATTTTTTCAAATTCTGAACATTTATTGAAAAGTACAAAAAAATGTGAAAATCCTGGAAAAATTTTCAGATTTATGAACAAAACAGTAAAACACAACGATTTAAAAAAATAAAAAAATTTTGAAGAAAAGGCCAAATTGAAAATGGAAAATTAAAAAGAAAGGAAAGTGAAAGAAACGAAATAGAAACAAAAGAAAAATAAACAGAAAAGGGAAAAAGGAGAGAAAAGAAAAGAAAAGGGAAAAAGGAAAACGAAAAAACAGAACAAGGAAAAAATGGATCAGCAACCTTCTAGAAGTTTTCAAAACCAGAAAAAACTGTTTGGGTACCTCTAGAAGGTTCCCAAAACCGGGGACGTTGAAACGCTTAAATGGGCTGCCCAGCTGGAACGATCCCTCGATCTCGCTGTGTGAAACCTCTACAGTTTGCCGCAACGTGCGGTGAATAGGAAATTCCAACTTGGGCGGCTTCCCTCGCGTTGTCGCCGTGCTGGTTGTGACGCTCACCGAGGCGGCGCGCTTCAGGGAGATCGCGACACGGATCACTAGCAACTGGGAATCAGGACTCGCGCTTGGTCATCTCAACGACCTGGTGGTCAACTGGAAGGCCATATCGTGCCCTCTGCTGTTGGCGAAGCTGAACAGTGGCGGAGACAGGGGGACCAGCAGGGGCCATGCCCCCCCCCCCCAACATCAGTGAGTTAGTGTATGTTAAAACATTGATCAATTATTAAATAACGTTGATATTTTGAGAAATGTTCTTTGGTCAAATTTGAAAAAATGTTCAAACATTTTTCAAATTTGATACATTATTTCAAATTTGTGAACAATTTTTGAAAACAGGGACATTTTCTCTGAATAATTTTAAAATAACCGTCTGAACAATTTTGAAAAACACTAACAAATTTGAAAACACGAACTTTTTTTGAAAAATTACAAAACAATTTTTGAAACTCCTGCAAAAATGGAAACATGAACATTTTTTGAAAGAAGGAACATTTTTTGAAATTCCGAACAATTTTTCAA